TGATCGTCCCCTCCACTGCCAAACACATTTGATGAGGTACCAGCACCGCCTCGGGATCCGAAGCAGCGGTCATTGGCGTTCCTCAGTTCTGCCTCACATCGCCAAGCGCGGACGCGATCATCGGGTTCTTTCATATGGGTATGGACGCCACCAACGYAAGGCAAATTGCCTTGTGCAGCATTCCACCCCCACCCAYGTTGCTCCATGCGTGTTTGTAATTTTAGGTCTGCTGAACCCTGCTGCCAATCAGCTGTCGCAGCACGCGACTCCTGTCCACGTGCTTCTGCACAGACAGATGCAGTCATACCTGTCCTCTGTGCGGCTGTAGCTGCTTGTCCGTAGCAGCTGGCAGTTCGTGGCAGACTCGATCCATGAACACGTTTTCCCAAACCGCCCACAACATCCCTCGATGAGCCATGCTCCAAATTGGTCGCTGAAATATGTAATCTCCGAAGTGGCTCCCCATTCGTTGCCGAACTATGCAACCTCCGAAGCGGAGCTTCCACAATGGGAGGAATGCTCATTCCAGAGGATGCTGTTTGTTTCACTGCAGCCTGTTGCTGGTCTGATCTTGCATCTCCTGATCCCCCTTGACCCAGTCCATCTGTCTTGTTTGAAGCACCAAGGACTTTACAATGTGGCCTATCGGCTTGTGCAACACTCGACCCCTGACCGCGTCCCCCTATCCTTGTACTGGCATCCACACAGCCTACTGGAGTCGATGCTGTTTGTACGGTTGCACCTCGCCACCCAGCTCGCTGATCTTCCGCACGGACAGAAACGGTCTGTGAAAGCCTTGGCAGTGCTGCTGCCAACTCTCCTGTACACTTCTGCCGTCGAGCAGCAGCAGCCGGAGCTAGTCCTTCTTGCCCAGCTTCTTGCCCAGCTTCTTTAACACGCATGGAAACAGGGGCAGACACTATCGATGATGCTGCAATGTGATCTGCAGTAGCTCCAACAGCATCCCATTGCTGAGATGGTCCATTTAAATGACCAGAAAAGGAAACGGAAGTACTTACAACGGCTCTTTTACGGACTGTTTTACACTCGTGTTTTTCGGCGACAACACAACTCAACCCCTGGTGGCAAGGCATTTTCGCACCGCGGTGCACGCGGCTGATAATGGCCGCGTCTTCTTCGACTCCTGACGTCTTCGCCCCTGGGACCTTCTGCTGCTGGCAGAAAACCGCGACACCATGTTCTTGGACGCTTCGCCCTGATGTTTTCACTGCTGGCTCTTCCTCCAGGTTTGCGGGAATGGTGTCCAGCATTCCACTGCCAACCCTTCTGCGCTTCAGACTCGACTTCCCTTCCCGTTCACTCTCCCCCCACTCTTTTCTCCACTGCCCAGTCTTGGGTTCCTTCCCCTCCATCCATTCTTTTCCCACTTGTTTCCTTGCCGTTTGACCTGTGCTTTGCCTTCCTTCTGTCATTTCTCCTTGTCGGCGCTTCCGGAACTCGGTCCCACTCCCTCTTCGATGTCTTTCCTCTTCCACTTGCTGTTTCATGCCCGCTGCTTGTCTTTCAGTTAGGTCTACTCTTCTTTCGTGTCGTCCTGGGGGTTCTTCCTCTTGGCGCTTTCGGAAATCCAACCGACTCCCCCTTTGTTGCCTCCTTTCCTCCTCCTCCTCCTCCTCCACCTGTTGCATATCCCTTTCTTTCTGCGCAAGGACAAACAGCCCCTCGCCAAATACTCTCAGAACCTCCTGCATCGTCCCAATCATAAAAACAAAGAGTGAGAGTCCATACGGCAGCGGTGGACCGAATAACATAGAAGACCACAGCTTCCCCGACACCTCTTTTTTGGGGGGGACCATTTTTTTCGATCTGTGCGTGTCACCCCTGCACAGGGGCCATGCTAATTAGTAATCAGTAATCAGTAATCAGTAATCAGTAATTAGTAATTAGTAATTAGTAATTAGTAATTACCCATCTCTGTATCTTTTTTGCAATTTTAACGGATATCACATTCAGAACTGGAGCAAAGTTTTGGCTCAGCAGACCGTTGGAACAAAGTTTGGAAGACTACGAAAAACTGCAGTCTTCATCAAGACATCAGGCTTTGTTCTCGTCATCTTTCGGTATGCTTTCTGTTGGATGCCACTGATGGAGAACCAGTTCATGCAATCATTCGACTTCGCCAACTTTCTCTCAATAAATCCTCCGCTCAGGACGAAATTACCAGAGAGTGGCAGGGACTGCACCAGAGCTAACAGACGCTTGCAGACACATAAATTGCCCCATGCTAGTGCAAGTCATAGCAAATGTATTACCAGAGAGAGAGAAGCACATAGATTGAAAAATCATGGAGTGTGAAGAGAGAAAGACTGCCAGCCACGGACATGATATCTGAGAGAAAAGAAGACGCCAGAGATCGAAAGTTTGGGAAATGGAGAGAG